TGAGTCCAAAAGGCATTACCAGGAACTCATAATGCCCATATCTTGTTCTAAAAGCTGTCTTTGAAGTTGCTCCATCTGCCACTTTCAATTGATGGTATCCAGACCTCAAATCAATCTTAGAAAAGACTGATGCACCCTGCAATTGATCAAACAAATCATCTATTCTTGGAAGGGGATAACGATTCTTCACTGTCGCCTTATTCAACCTCCGGTAGTCAATGCACATTCTCATGGAGCCATCTTTCTTCTTGACAAACAAAACCGGTGCACCCCAAGGTGAGATGCTAGGTCGAATAAACCCCTTGTCTAACAATTCTTGCAATTGTTCATTAAGCTCCTTCAGCTCAATTGGTGCCATTCTATATGGTGCCATTGAAATTGGTGTTGTGCCAGGTACCAATTCAATATCAAACTCTACTTCCCTTTCTGGTGGAAGGCCGGGAAGTTCTTCAGGGAATACATCAGGAAACTCCCTTACCACCTCTACATCCTCAACCTTCTTATAATTACTACAGTAACTTGAGCAAGAAAGGCTTCACAACCTTCCTTCACTAATCGAAAAGCTTCCATGGCCGAAAGAAAACCATGAGTCTCCTTTTTCTTAATGCCCCGGAATACAACAGGACCTTTATCTGGTGTGTTAAATAACACTTCTTTCTTTTGACAATCCACAACAGCTCCATGTGTTGCCAGAAAGTCCATTCCAAGGATGACATCAAATTCATCAAAAGGTAGCAGAATTAAATCTGCTGCTAGGAAAGCTCCTTCCACACAAATGAAGGAACTTCTAATAACTGAGTCTACCTTCAAGGTATCTCCCACAGGTGTTTTAACACATAAGGTATAACCTAGCTTATCTGGAACTAAGCGTAGCATATGTGCAAACGTATATGACATGAATGAGTGAGAGGAACCAGTATCGATCAAAGCATATAATTGCTTGCCAAGGATAGAGAGCATACCAGTCACAACTTCTGGTGCCACTTCTGCCTCACCTCGAGTCATTGCATAAACCCTCGGTGCTCCCTGTGCCCTGGTACCCTGCGTACCACTTCCTGATGGTTGATTTCGACCACCACCTCTACTACCCTGTGAACCACCACGACCACTCTGAAATCCACTACGGCCTCCCTGGTAACCACCCCTGAATGGGGCTCTACTTATTTGCACTGAAGGCTCGGACTGTGTAGCTCTTACTTCTCTCGAATGCGGACAGTCCCTCATGATGTGCCCAGGTTGGCCACAGTGAAAGCATACACCAGAAAATCTCCTACACTCTCCAATATGCCTCTTCTGACAAACTTGACAAAATGGAAATTGTGTGGCTGAGGAAATTGGTGCCCTGTATGATGTTCCCGACATAGATTGACTCGATGTTCTCCCAAAACTGCTAGGACCTCTCCTGGGTGGGTAACGAGGTCCAGCATAATTTACTCCAAACTTCCTCTTCTTCTCCTCTTCTTTGGCCTTGTGTTCCTCCCGGCTCTCAACTTCATAGGCTTCATACTTAAGTGCTGCCTCCTTGATTGTGGCCATACTCTCTTCATCAACCCTGTGGATCTTTTCTTTCAACCCTATGCGCAGACCATGCAAGTATCTCCTCTTCTTCTTATGCTCAGTATCCGCCAACCCATCCTCAAAGTAAAGCAGTCGAACAAACTTGATGGTGTACTCAGTAACTATCATATTCTCCTGCTTAAGGTTGGCGAATTCATTATTCTTTGCCCTGATAAAAGCTTCGGGAAGAAACTCTGTCTTAAAGGCCTTCAGGAACTCCTCCCAGGTGAACTGAACGCGTTCACCATTAACTCTAGAGACTGAGGACCACCAGCTCCTCGCATACCCCTTTAGGAGAAAAACAACATATTGCACTTTTTCCTCTGGGGTTGCATAAAGATACTCAAACACATCTTCCATCTCTCTCAACCACTCTACTACAGCATCTGGGCTCACATCTCCCTTAAAGTCCCTACCACCCAAACTCTTCATCTTTGCATAATCTAATACTGGCGGCCTTGCATCAACCGCCCCCACTCCTCTCGACTGGTCAGTAGGAACATTTTCACAACTTCCGTGCGAGCTACAAGGAAATATTGGCCTTAGATTGATCCACACAAAATTCATTCTTCACCAAATCTCTCACTTGGTTAAAACAAAAAATTTCCAAAATAATTACTTGAAAACAAATAAGTTTAAAACTCAATTTTGAAAACCATGATGCAGGTAATTTCATCCAATATACCAATACACATAATCATGTCAAACTCAATTCCCAGTTTAAGTCATTATGGGGTACTCCCCTCCTTAGGAGTGTTTAAACTCCCATAGGGTATAGTACGCCATAACAGCAAAAAGAGGGAACCAGGCTCTGATACCAAACTGTAACACCCTACCCTATACGTTTTGCCTAATCATATTGTTCATACAATTGCAGCGGAATTAAACTTGGGTGTTACATTAATTATCAAAATTTACCCAAATAAAATTTCGACATGAACTACTCGCGTAATGGGCTAACAGTTCTTGCAACTTATCCTGCAAAATAATTCATATGAATCCCTTCATTCGTAGACATACAAATATACTCATAACCTTATACATTGCTTCTCATAGCCATAGGCACAGTTTCATACTCCGCAACTGCATACCTTACTAATACATGTCATAGTCGTCACAACTTACACAGTTACACAACATATACACATATCATCAACTTTCCACACCTGTGGATATCTCACACTACATCAGAAGCTAGTATGCACATGAAAAACGTTCTCAAAAACATTTTTACAAAAAGGTGTGGATCACTGGCCAAAATCCCGAGTAGTAGTCCAAGCACAGAATGGTTGAAGACCATACCTCATCTTGCCTTCAACTCTTGCTCAGCTCCCACCTATACACCTATCTACTGTTGCTGATGATGATCTGCTTACACATAGCATAAGCAGAGAAGAAGAATAAAAGAGGGTCAGCTCATAGCTGAGTGAGATAATCATAGCATCGTGAGTTCATAACAGAGCATACCCCTACCATACATCTAGCAAACAAGCCAAGGCACTGGGATCAGATCTCAGCCCTCCAACATCCCAATAGGCAAAAGACTCAACCACCTTGACTTATGCATATGCATCTTATCATGTTTTAATCATAGGCGCCTGGCTACTCCCATGCTAATAACTCTCCTGGGAAACATACCCCACATCCCGTCGGATGTAGTCATACATACCCCAACATGCCGTCGGATGTGGTCATACATACCCCACACCACTATTGGTGTAGTCATACCCCGACACCGCTCTGGGTGTGGTCATATCTCATAAGAATTCTTCAATCACCACCACATGAGAGGTGTGACTATCATACATATCATAATAGAGTAATAGCATAGGGAGCCCTAATTACTATGTAGTTGACCGTGAGACCACAACACTGATATTTGGTATCCTTATACATGATTCATATCTCATCTTGCTTAATCATAATTCATTACTTGCACATGTACTTGACCTGGCCATAATTGGCTCGACATAGGTAAATCAGGAGTCGTATAATTGCACTTCCTCGGGGTAAACCCTCGTGCAAGTCATCCTCCTTAAAAATCATAATATCACCAGGGAATATATATTTTCCCACTTGTGCATCCAAATCCAACAATCATGAAAATCATACCTAATCACCTTCTCGAACCATCGTAAAGCATATTAACCGTCAATCCCACAATTTGCAACATATACACAATCATCAGCATAAACAAGGTTCATATCGATTAGGGCAAGTCAATAATATCATACAGCAATCCAGGGTTCAACATATAGCACAAAGGTCCATACACCCTTAATCATGCCATTCTAGTTCACCTAGGTCAATTCTAAGCATCAATATAATTATCGTGATACGACAAACTCGGTATGCCGTGCTAATCCCTCACCAGTTCTGGTCGTTCAAACACCGGTTTAAGCTTCCCGTACTAAAACGTCAATTTCACGAACGAACCCCGAATTAAAATCCGAGACCGTCCTAATATCCCCTGCAGTATCCCCGTCAATATTAGTTCTAGGCTCCGGGTCAAATTCTCGATAAAAACACATCAAACCCTGGCCGGAGCTAAATTCAGCGGTTTGGACCCTGGCCTAAATAATAGCCGAAAATCAGGAATTAGAACTAGGGGATTGATTACCTCGCTGCAAGAAGCTCGTATATGAAATTTGGGCTCAAACCGGCTTCCGGATACTCCGAAACCCTAATTTGGCTTATCGAGAATTCAAGAAATTCCTGAACCAAAAACTCGTTTTAAAGCTCTAAATCGATAAATCACGATGTATGGATGAATTAGGCATTACTTACGGGATTTTTGGATCAGTGTAGCTCAAGAATCGAGCTACGGAAATTTTCCCCGAGCTCCCCTGTGCGCGACTGTTGTCGTTCTGTTCCCTCGGTTCTTTCTCGGTGGAGAAAATGGAAAAAGATGATGGGGATGATAATTAAAGTAATGGACGGGGGAAAGGTTTATATATATATGTCGGCCGCTTAATATATATATATATATATGTAATTAATACGTATACTTATCCGATCGATCGATAATCCGATTTTCGTCGAAATAGTGTCGAAATGCTCGATTTTAAATCGCGAACTTTCTAGCGATCGAAATACGATTTTAGCTGAAACGGGATGTTACAGTTCTAGTCTAGAATTTGATGATTGCTTGCTGCAATTGCTTTCCAAGGTACTCATTGAGCGCACTTTCAGGTGGTGGGAGTTTAGGAGCTGGAATAGTTTATTGTTGTTGTCTTGTTGAGGCTGATTCATAGATTATGATACTAGTTCTTCTTATATATAATTAGTGGGTACGCTTTTTGCCTAAATTTCTTGCTACTGTTTCAATTTTTAACGTTTAGTGAGTTGAGCCTCAAACTCTCCACTGGAGAGCTCCTTGGAAACCTGCCTTCGTGACTGTCCCGCCCCACTAGAAGTTCTCGGCTGCTGCACTGTCCTCAACCATGCTTTGTCCATTCTTGCTCTATCAACTTCACTGTCCTTCTTCCGATCACCTCCTCTCTGCATATGGTCTTGCACGAATCCCCATGCCACTTTTGCAGAGCTCTTTGGAAACGCCTCCTTCCCAACTCGTCAGTTCGTCACTCCGCTTTGCTTTCCCGTACAACAAATCAATGTCTTCCTTCTGCTTCTACAGTGATGTCCTCTCCCCACCAGTTGGCTACGATTGTACTTGGTGGGAGACAAATGGTTCCCTCCTTTCCCCCACCATAATCCCTCAACGAAACCCTAAAAGTTTCCTCGCTGCTGGTCGACACGGAACCAGAACCTGAAAGCGGAGGATGAATAAATCGATTTGAAACAGAAGGACCGACGACGATGGACAGAATCTCCTATGATGGTGAGATCTTATTTATCTGCCTTCTTTGTGGACAATTTTAAATTTCACCTATTCGGTTTTGGACTCTCGCTGCAGAGCAAGGTTGTAGCAATGAAGATTCTGATGACATGGTGTCGTCAAGTTCGTACTCTAGCCCTATCCATGGGGAGGAACAACGGAAACTGACGATGGTGATGATGATGGACCAGCAGGAGGATGGGGTAAGAGTTGGTGGGACCGCCGATTTTCAGCATGGAAGACGAGAGAAGCTCAACGGCTGCTGGGGAGGAGCGAAAGAATAAGGAGATGAGAAGGAAGGAAAAGTATCACCACCCTCGACGAGAATGTAAGCAAAAGGAAACTCTTCTCTATCCAATTTTTGATTTCGTATAGAAAAGAAAACGGATTTGAATCTGCAGATTGATTGTCCTCTGTGCTATGCTGCTAGGCCTTCTTAATACTCTGGCATTTTCTTTATTTTGCTTTTACCTTCTATCTTTTCAATTATAATTGTTCCTTAACTTTGTCAATGAATGGTTGGTGTCTTTTGTTTAGATTCATTCAACCCTTCTATCTCTCACAGTCACAGATCAGAGTACACTCTTATCCTCGTTTATGGGAGGAAATGCTCATATGAATGTTATGCATATCAAAACATATGTTGGGGGTTTGTTTCCTAATAATGAATCATGATTCGCTTTTCCCCCTTGATTAAAGTGCCCTCTGCAACTAGGTTAATGGGTTTCAGTACCTCGGGATAAACTAACTTGAAATATATATTGTCATGCCTTTAGACCACCTAATTGATTTACATGATATAGCGATCACTTAGTGATTTGCAGATGGTGTGTGTACAAGCATCACCTACATTTTGACCTCTGTTGGTTTGTCTACTGCAAGTGTTAGGCAGCTGTGTTGGTTGGATTGATCTTCTTGAAGTGTTGTTAGTGGAACATTCACACAGGCAAGTTCATATGTAGTTTTGTATCTGACAGCATGTTTGCGCTATGAGTTTGGAGGAACTTCTGAGTATTGTTTCCTTTTGTGTTCTGCAGAAAAAGTTGACAAGGGGAGCTGGAATGTGCTGCTGATATTATTAGACCTCCTGGTCATCAGAAAGAGGTCATGGTGTGCAGCAAGAGCTCATTACCGAAATGGATACACATGACCTCGAATGGCGATTATGTTTTTTGGGTTGTTCATCTACCTAAGGTTTTGTTCATTTATTTATATTTTCCCCTTTCCATTGATTTCTTCTAATATGACAATGGATACAAATGATCTGGAATCGAGCCTTGGTACTCACGGCTACACCAGTCGCATAAAGAGGAAGGGGAACAAACCAAGTGTCTAAGTTAGCTTCAGAACTGTGAAATCGTTGGAGTAAGGTTCGAGGATTCTATTTTTCTCTGCACTCTAGGTGTGCCCTAATTTGGAAACATTGGTGCTCCTTGGATGTGGAGAAAGCAATAACGTTTTTATTGACTTAGCCCATTTTGGCAGCAGTGCAAGCTGTAATTTTTTGGTAAGGTGCTTCCTATTCTTTGCATAGACTTGCTTCAAGGAGAAATTTTTTGATACTTTTTATGTTGTCTGCTCTTATCTGAGGTTTCATGGTCTTCATTGCTTTTCACTTGACATTTGAAACGCAGTGGTAGTGTCCGGTTGAGGCCATCGTTTGCCATGGAGGATCTGTGTCTTGCAACATAAGGATATCACCATATTGGAGGATGGCTCGACCTGTATGTAGATCTCATTATGAGTTCTTAAATCAGGTGATTTTACTGTCATTTGAACTATACAGAAGATGATATGATACCTCCTATAATTTTTAAATCAGATTACTTGATTTTACTGTTGTTTGTAACTTTTAAAATATTCCCTTTGTCAAAGTGAATTAGATCATCATAAACACATTAGCTACAATCATCCTACCCCATGCTAATGTTTGTTGCTTCTTGCTAGGCCTCCTCCAGACATGCAGCCATGCTGACATGGATGATAATGCAGTACCAAACTTTAAGAGGAAGAACAAGCCTCAACCTCCTCTTCTCAAGTTGGGGTGATGTATCTTTGCACCTGCATAGTAAAGAGAAGGATCTCTTCCTACGAGTTTTTTCATGGTTTAAACCATGAATTCAATGGAGCATAAAACGTAAATGGTACTTAGAATCTAGAACTTGGATCACTTTCCATTTGATTGTTTTTCTTCATCTTCAAATATCAACGTTTAAAACAGGGACCGATATGGATCACAACACAGTTATAATTAGCAGAGAGACCATGTAAAAGGAAGGGGACAAGTTTCAGAACTTTATTGCTCCCTTTGCTCTTCAATTTCTTGCTAAATTGTTTGTGTAATTTGGAATGGAAATTGTATTTGTCTGCTGAACTGGAAGCAGAGTTGTCATCAATAACTTTTAAAGATGAACGAATGCTAACGGACTACACCAGTACTATTAGCTTTTCCCTTCTTTTGATATTTTATTTGGATGATAATATTGTGATTGTGTTTACAGAATAAATTCACTGCCCAATGACAGCTTCCTTACTGATTTAACTTTTAAAGATGGTAGCTAGGGGATATGGGACATTACAGGTTGTTTCATTATAGATGGTAGTATTTGAATCCGTAATCATAATTCATACTGCCATGTAGTGTTGGATTGGCTGAATACTTAATTTCATTTTGTAACTCAGTCATCTTAACACAATCAACATGTCTTTGTGTAACTGGTTTTGGTGATCATCCATTCTATGACTTGATTTATTATGGATAAAAAATGCAGGTTCTGGAGATGCATTGGATAATGGTTCGTGAGACCAAATGCTTGAAGAATCTTACCATCTCCAACAGTTCAGGTACAAAGTCTTCATTTTATGATGCGATAGTCTAACCCTTAACTATTGTTGTTTTCCATTTGAACTTGATGTGTTCACATACGAAGCATTGCTCAAGAGATGCTGGAAGGAGGCAAAGTGCTTTAGCTATCACTAAAGAAATGAGTGCCCGAAACATTACCAGAAACGGTTTCATCTATAACATATTAATTGACGGGCGAGATTCTCAGCAGATTGGTTCATTTGGATTTTGCTTCTCTTCTGTCTAATTAATGGACGAGGATTATTTTTAGATGGGCTCGGGGAGCTGATGTGTTTTGTGTTTTCGTACTTGGTTCTTTTTATGGTTCTCGATTCTCTTGCCTCCCATCTCCAACTACTGCTTTGTACCTTGACAATGTTCCTACTTTGGTGTTCCTTTAGTCCATGAATTGTAGTGGGATGGCTTTGAGGCTTTCCTTTATGGTAATTATGAAGTGGGTTGGTTGATTGATTTGTTATATTTTAGGGAAGACAGAATTCCTAGGGAAGAGACCCATGTCATGTTCAGGATTGGAGATCATGAGTTAGAAGGCAATAATAATGGTGGGGATCAGCTGGATGAGTTGTCAAACGATGAGTCACAGGTAGGGGAGAAGAAGAGGAGGCTGAACATGGAACAAGTGAAGACATTGAAGAAGAACTTTGAGTTGGGAAAAATGCAGTTAGCTAGAGCTCTTGAGCTGCAGCCTAGGCATATTGGTATTTGGTTCCAGAACAGGAGAGTCAGGTGGAAGACCAAGTCGCTTAGAAAAATTATGTTATCCTTAAGAGACAGTTTCAGGTTGTCAAAGCTGATAATGATGCCCTTCAAGCCCACAAATAGAAGCTTCATGATGAGGTAATTGCTGGTTTCAGGTTTTTAGAATTCTGGGTTTGATAATTTTTTTTTTGCTTGAAATAAGCCACAGTTATGACAGATGTGTCTGGAAACAAAACTTAGCAGAAATCATACACATATCATGGTCACGTTATTTTTAAAGTTTTCCCCCCTCTCTGCCATGGTTTTGGTTCATAACTTTTATCCAATATTGTTAATCACTTACCTTGAAACCTGCAACTGATGACTTAATATAATGCTTTCTTTTATCTGCCTATCATCAAAACTTTTCTTTTACAATAAGGTAACATTTGGGAGCTGGTCAAAAGAAGAGAAAAAGCTACTGGGTACTGACTCTGAAGCCGTGTTTCAAGCTTCTCTCTTTTTTTTTTTCCCTTTTTTTTGCCATGTTTCATGTATGCTTCATCTCTGACTTGATTGGTCAAAGCATTGTTTTTTGTGGGGGAGGCTAGATATTGGCACTGAAATAAGAGATACATTTTGTAAGGTTCATCTATCCATCCACTATACAAACCAAATAATCTCGGTCTCAATCTTTTATGAAAAAACCCTGCAGTTCAACTTGGGCTGACGTGAATTTCTTCTTTGCATAGACAACATCCGGGCTTACAGGCGTTCACATCTGACATCAAATGGTAGAAGGAGTTGCAACGGCAGTAGGGGGTATAGATGCCTTCACATCAGACGTTGATGAGATTATGCTAGCCAATCAAGTTAGTTATCAGTAGGAAGGTCAAGATTGCAGATGGAAGGATAAACAAAAAAAAGTACAAGTGAAAAAGTCCAATGTTGAACTTGAGATTTAAAACTGAGTTTATGTTGCTGTAAATTTGGGGACATAAACGAGGACGTGGAAATAAGAGATGCACGTGCATAACTGAACAGAGGTTTGTAAGATTTCAGTAAGAAACTCTTACATGCAGGCTTTAGCCTTCAGTAGGAAACTACATGTAGCTTTCAATTTGTATATCCAGTCTCCTGATTAGAACTATGTCAATAAGTTTGATTCGAAAAGAAACTTTTTAGAGTATGATTATTATTAGTATATTAATCCAAGATCGTTATTTAATGTTTTCTATATATTTTCTGCACTTAATCATGAACCCATTAGAATATGATGGTACACAACACCTTGATTGACCACCATATGATCATTCGACTGCAACTTTAATTCCTGCGGCGTTGCAACTTTAGTACAACTTACTGTCATCTTAATTTACCGTCACCTTAATGACCACCATATAATCATTCGGCTGTAACTTAATTCATGCGGTGTTGCGTAGCCGCCGCATGTATTGATTCTAGTACTTGTTAAAGCTAACACATTCCAGATGGGTTTGGATGATAGATAAGATAGGTAATTCTTCGCGTGCTTGTCTTAATAATTACAAGCCCCAACTCAAATGCAACTGCTTACTATGACTTTAGTCTTTCATATATACATTCTGGCTGCTTACTTAGAGATTCAGTACTTTCGAAGTAAAAGATTATTGGCAATAAGATTGATATGGTTATTGGAAGCTATAATCGATTTGCTACTGTGGACATCAACCTGAATATATAATTCACCTCGCAATGCACGATTTTTCCAACTTAACTATTTCTCAATTTCATTGCTTTTAACTTTATCAATGCATAGCTTCTGTAGAACATTTAACAATGTATATGTGCTGTATAGACAGAGCCCTGCTGCTCGATACAGAAATACAAATGGAAAAGGAAAACGATTGAAAACAAGGTTCCCATTGCTGCATCCTTAACTTAAACCATTAGAGGCAAAAGGAAACTCGGAGAAATTCTAGATTCAAATGACCCGATTCAGTGCCCTGCTCAAAATACGGAAGCCCCGAATTACTTGAAAGCCTTTGAAATCCGTTGGAGAAAGCCACTGCCTCCAAAGAATTTCAGATTCAAAATTTCATGCTTGCAACAAGGAGGCGCAACGGGGCGACAATGCCAATTCTGATTTTAGTTGAATCGTGTGGTACGATGACGCAGAGCAGTTAGATAGAGACAGAGTGACCATCGGCATGAGAGATTCGTTTGGTTTCTTTTTCACATAATATGGAGGAAGAAGATGGTGGAGTTCAGTGGATGCTTACGGTAGATGTTGGAAATATATATGAATAGCTTTGAAAGCTATAGAGTCTCAAGTGGAAAAACTACCACATTGGTAGTTTTACTTGGTGAAATGGGTATAAAGATAGGAGCCTCTCTCTTAAGGGCAATGCCCCTTGGGGTGACCCACTTTTGTGGGAGAGCGAGGACCTAACGGACCACCACACACGCGCGCATGCGCCATTCGACTGGCCGGTTGGTTGGTTCACTTGAGACTACATATATATTTTTGGAGAAATTCCGAACGAAATTAATTATCTAATAATTAATTATTAACCGACGTTTTAATTAAGGAAGTAATTATCTTCCTTAATTAATCAGACTTATTCCCCAAGCAAGAGGGTATATTCCTAGGGGTTCGGCTCCTATAAATAGCCGCCTCCCCAGCCCCTCTAAACACATCACAACGAGCATAAACACAATAGAGAGAGTGTTCAGAGAGCTCCGATTTTCGCACAAAACCGCGAGTATTGAGAGGAGCGGTTTTATCCTGGAGACGACCGGTTGATAGTCTGCCGTGCGCATCGAAGGCAGTGCCGCGAACGTCTTAAAGAGAGCGACCTAGTCCGCGACTCAGCTCCAGATTCGGTAACCTCATTCTTCTTGTTGTTCCGTTCCTAACAGTAGACACTCGGTATTGAATCAGAGACGGAGAAGTTCGCCGAAACTGCTTATCACCGTTCGTCGGAGTAGGAGAGCAACGAACATGACTTTAGGATTTCCATTTTCTTATTTTGTTTTTGTTGCTTGAGAAAAACATATCAAAATAATTTTAAATAAATTAATCGAAAAAGGTAGAAAACGGAACAGAGATGGGAGGACGGAACAACTTCATCACTTTGCCCAACGACGGTTTGGGCCAGTTGATGGCCCTTCTAGGCTGGGTTTATTGAATTTAACCAATGCCACGTCATTCATACGTGGTCCAATTAAAAGCTGCGGCATTGGTGACGCACTTTTTACAGCGGTAGCGTAGTATTGGCCATTTGTTAATGAACAATAATCTGGATTTCACTTTATATATATTAATTAATTTTTAATTACATTACTTTTGTAGAATAGTGTTACAAAAATCCTTCATACTGTGTGTGGCCTAATATTGAAGTCAAGTTAACAAAGGATTAAATTGTTATGTAGAAAAAATTTACCTTGAAAATTCATAGTGTAATGCAAATAATAAAGAAATCATGATGAATTTGGGAGCTTTACACAATATATTTATAATTACGAGTTGTAAATGCTACACAAATATTTCATACCATGATATAATGATAAAGAGTTATGATGAAGTTGAGAGCATTTTATAATATACTTGTAATTACGTAATTGTTATAGAGTAATGTTACACAAATCTTTAGTATTGTGTGGTCTAATGCTAAAGAGCACTTAAATTACCGAATCATTACGTACTATTTAAGTGATAGATAAGAAATAATCACTCCTCCATAAGTTTATATATTGTATTTTTAATTACGTAACTGTCATCGTACTATGCAATCTAATAATAAGATCAAATTAAAAAAAATAGTACATTTGTAAACGGTTATGTAAAAAATCATTGATCATTTAAAACCTATCTCTATTGCAAATAATAAAGAGCTTACCATAAATTTGAGAGCTTTATAATATATTTGTAATTATATGACTTTTATAACATAATGTTACACAATAATTTGTACTGTATGATCCAATGGTGAAGTCAAGTTAACAAAAATATCAAATTAGATTAGATTAAATTGTTATGTTAAAAAATAAATTACCTTACAAAACTTTGGTGTAATGCAAATAATAAATAAATAATGTTGAATTTGTAATTACGTAATTGATATAGAGTAGTGTTACACAAATTTTTCGTACTGTGTGATTTAATGCTAAAGAGCTTGTGGTCTCAAGATAAAATCATGTTAAGAAAATTTAACATTTGATTAAACGGTGTGTAAAAAAACTAATCTTAAAAATCTTAATGTAATACAAATAATAAAGATCTTATGATAAAATTAGATGTAGGGGATAAATACCTCTTATGAACATTACAAGTATTTGATTAAACGGTTGTGTAAAAAACCTAACCTTAAAAATCTTAATGTAATACAAATAATAAAGAGCTTATAATAAAATTAGATGTAGGGGATAAATACCTCTTATGAACGGTACATGTGGTAAAAAAAAATAATTTTTCTATAATTTCTTATGCAACAGTGCTGCAGACTTGCGGCTTTAATTAATTAATTAATAATATTATATATCTAATTAAAATTTCAAACAAATGAGTCAAAGCAAAACGTATACAAATGTATTGACGTTGTTGTTTGGATTTTGATGAAGTGCAATTTGCTTCATCAAATGTCATTATGTTTAGTATGTTTCATAAACATTACCAAAATAAGCTAAAGAGCTTATTCATTATAAGCTAACACATCCATAAGTTATACTACAAAAATTGAAAACAGGAAAAAAGACATGTGAACCATAGCCTAAATTTTTAGTTGAAAGACGCATTAAGTTAAGGAGACCACAAGAAAAAGATATATGAAAAAATATAATAGATTTCTCTCAAATATGCTAGTATCCGATACAACCACATTTTGAATATGAATACTTACATCTAGGTTATGCCGGTATCTACGAGTTTTATAACCCAAAATTCATACCCTACCCAAATCCACAAGAAAAAGATATATGAAAAATATAATAGATTTCTCTCAAATATGCTAGTATCCAATACAACCACATTTTGAATATGAATACTTACATCTAGGTTATGCCGGTATCTACGAGTTTTATAACCCAAAATTCATACCCAACCCAAATCCAAAAGGGTGGGTTGTTTTTTCACCTTAAATCATAATGCAAAGCTACCAGCAACATTACACTATTCGCTCCAGAAAAATAAAAGGAAAATCACGATGTGATACGAACGGGAGCAGATCGGGTGAGTAACTAATGGATGAGTAACCCATCAGTAACCCCTCTCTCCTCTCTCCACGTGTCAGTTACTTTTTTATTTAAATTAAATGCTAAAGGACAGTAAGGTAAAATGCACTTATCCCCTATTTATTGCTGACGCGCTGACTTTTGACCGACCACATCAGGACCTCCTTCTCACTCATCGAATAACCTTTAATTTTCCTTCTCTTGATCTTTAACGGACGATTTCTCACTCGTTTTAAGTCGAAATTTAATTTTTTTGCACAGTTAGATCAGATTAATTATGCTCTTCAAAATCATATCCACTTTCATATTTTTTTGACACAAATTTTTTTCCAGTTATTACCAGTCTATACCATATGGTATAGTGTGGTAATATCAATATATATTTCGTTACCACCCAATACCATATGGTATAGTGTGGTAATATCACACAATACCATATGGTATAGAGTGGTAATATCAATATATATTTTGTTACCACACAATACCATATATTACCATAGGGTATAGTGTGGTAATATCAATATATATTTCGTTACCACCCAATACCATATGGTATAGTGTGATAATATCAATATATATTTCGTTACCATCCAATACCATATGGTATAGTGTGGTAATATTAATATATATTTCGTTACCACACAATACCATATGGTATAGTATGGTAATATCACACAATACCATATGGTATAGAGTGGTAATATCAATATATATTTCGTTACCACGCAATACCATACATTACCATAGGGTATAGTGTGGTAATATCAATATATATTTCGTTACCACCCAATACCATATGGTATAGAGTCATAATATCAATATATATTATCTAAAAGGAAAAAAAAAAAAACAGAAGAAGGGAGAGAAAAAATCGTCTTCTGATGCCTCTCATTTCCTCTTCCTTAATCAAGAACACCAAAATGCCAAAAAAATGAGAAAGATCGGAATTGAGGCCAACGAGTTGATGAAGAGAAGAAATGCAAAGAAAGAGAGTGGCTACAATTTTTATTCGTCGATTGCTAGAGAAAAAAAATGAAGAAGGAAAAGAGCAGATCTAAATTTGAAAAGGAGATTGTGAAAGAAAAAGTAAGAGAGAAGGAATAGAGAAAGAGAAAGGATCTGGAAAGAGATTGAAAGAAAAGAAGAGAGAAGGAAGAAAGTTGAGTTGCAGAGAAAATGCATTGTCTCTCTTTCATTGGAAAGTCAGCCATTGAAATGCGGAATGAATAAAAAAAAATTGAAAATACAAAAACGGACAAAAATGCCCCTCCCCACTCCACATCCAGCCCAGCCACACGATTTCTCCATTCCCAATCCTACGGCTCCCGTGTGGTTACTGATGGGTCAGTAACCAGTGGTTACTGACCCTATCTTGGACCGATAGGAACAGAAAACCGACCACAAAAATAATGGCAATGGAGCAGTAACAGGCAACGGATTATATTGATCCTCCTCTCGAATCTTCTTGTTCCCTTTAGGGAAAAGAAGGAAAAAAGAATTGCATTCAGCCCAATCACATGTGTAGACGAAATACGCAGGAATAAACCAGGAGCCTCAAGACTTTCTGATGTTGCAGTCATTGCTGTTGCAGCTGAAGCAACTGACTCCTTTGCTCAGGCGGCAACAGATTGATCTATTCCGGTGTCAGGCTTATTACCTGTTGAAGTAGTGCCTTCTCCATATCAGGGCCAAACTGTATCACTCGAAAAGAAACATGCACAAAAGGAGGCTTAGAAGACCATCAACGTACACTTGGAATACAACAACATAAAAGGAAGGGAAAGAGGCAGGGGAGTTTTGGCTCGAGCTGCTTGATTGCCCAAAACTGGTGTTGCAGCTGAGCTATCTAGAAGGCCAGACATCCACCCAGATCCTCGATCAACTTGCATTGAGCTTCCACCCTGATTGTTGAACTCTCCGGTTCAAGTGTGAACCTCCTCCGCCCTGGATTTTTAATTTGAAGCGCATCTCAGTGTTAATAGAAAACTCCATCATTCACAACCCTATTTTAAAAGAACCCTATTCAAACGATGCATTTCCACAATCTAGCAATTTCTCAATTATTTCAAAAATATATAAACTATTTAAAACAATTCATCCACCCAAATTTTGTCTACAATTTTTCCACAACTCTAAAAAGAGTAACAGCAGGAGCTGAGCAGGGGACCAAGTAATATGAATTTAAGACTTCTTAGATTCTCCGACTTCCTATCTTTAGTGGATTATCAAATCCTGTTCTTGTATTGGAGAGGCAGCCCTTCAAATACCCATTTCTCCATTTCACAAATTCCAGAAAGTAAACTACCTATCCTATTTTGAGCCACAACCCTTGATCATATGTCATTTATTCAGTCTACTAAATGATGCATCATGATGGGCTGCAAGTCTAGATTCAGCAAATGAGTGAATGAGAACATTTCAGAGATACCATAAGGAAAAGAAAAACAACATTAAAGCACACACCAAGGCATCAAATCAAGATGGAGGGAGCTAGAAAAAATTCATGTTACCTGATATTGGGATTGAGGTGGCCGGTGGCTTGGAATAGGTTGTTACTGTCCATGAGACACTGCTGGATTTTGAGTTATATTGCCAGACTAAAACAATTATTTGTCTTATTATTGCTAAGTGTCAACTTTTCAAAATGTTAACCACAAACTGTGTTTAAGGAACTCTTCAACTTACATGAAACATGGGTTGTGAAGGATGCTGATGACTACCACCATGTTGGAAGCCCATACCGGATCCCCTCTGTTGTTGATATTGATGATTGAAACTCGACATATATAGAATGTGGTGACGGTCTTGCTAGGTTGAGGTGGCATTGGTGGTTGCAGTGACATGTGAGGGATTCCGCCACTTGTCTACAATGGCTGTTGAAGCTGGCTAGTAGCCAGCTGGGGTTGATGAAGTTGGGGTGCATGTGGAGGTATGTTAGGCACTTGAGTATTAAGATGTCCCTTTGGCTGCTACGGGTTCTGTAAGGTGTGCAAATTAAGGCATGGTTTGGATGAAAGATTTACAATTACAGGTGGAGCAAATTAAAAGAGGAAGAAGCCATGGGCACTACTGCAGGCTGATTTTGGTGTTGTGTTCTGATCTGATGCTGCGTGTTTGATGCAGGTTGTACGTTGTCCCATTTGTCCTTGATGCCAAGTCCAAATGTTTGATATATGAGGGGATGGTGCTGATTGCTAAGGCTTCTGTGATGTTGTTGCCGGGATTACAGGAACCTACCTGCAAAGAGAAATCTGTTAATTAAGCACGTATATAAATAAATTAGCCAATACGATTGATCTATAAAGATTAAGGACATACCACTAGAGGAGGTTAGACCATTATATTCCCAGCATATATAATTTGAGCCTGTTCAAACGGTTGGGCGCAGCGGGTGAGAATAGCGGGTAAATATATTGCACTAAGAAATTACACGCTTGTGAAAAGTTCACAGGTAAGTTGGACATGGTGGCAGATCCTCCAGAATTACGGTAACCAACTTACTTAGATCAATTTACTTCGGTAATTTAATAATGCAATATACTACGACTATTCTCAAAATAACAACAAGCATAGATAATAATAAATAACACCGAGGATTTACGTGGTATACCCTGATTTTGGGCCAGCCCACGGGAACAGCAGCTCCGGAGTATTTCTTTACTATAACAATGGTAGGTTACAGAGATTTTCTCGATACAAGAAATAGAACACACAGTGTTTCCCAAACAATCCCACTATTTCACTCACAAGGAAATCTCCTATCTACCCGTGATTGTGAAAACGTTTCACAACTGAAACCACAAGAAAGAAATAGAACCGAGAGCTAGCAAAGAAGAATGATGAAAATGGAAAAATGGAATGGTGAGGGATGATATTTTGAGGCTACTGCCTCTGCCTTTTATAGGCTAGCAAGGAAGAGAGTATTAATGCTAGTGGTTGGATTGCCAACCGTCATCTCCTCCCTCAATTTAAGTTTTATTTTTTTTTATCAATTTCCACCGCCAACCTTGTTGGCCTCTTCTCTACCACATGAGGATGGCACAACAATTCTCCCCCTGCCCGACTACATGGGCGAATTCATCATCCCTGTAGCTGATCGACAGAACTCAAACTTTTCTCTTGGAAAAGTCTTGGTACACATGTCAGATCCATTTTCGTCAGTATGGATCTTTTCCAGTTGTAGCTGTTTCATTTCAAGCACATCTCGGATCCAGTGACATCGGACATCAATATGTTTTGATCGAGCATGAAATGAAGCATTCTTCGCAAGATGAATAGCACTCTGACTGTCATAGAACAACTGCGGTCGTTCCTGTAGGAACCCAAGTTCATTTAGGAACTTCTTCATCCATATCATCTCCTTGAATGCTTCCGTTACTGCTATATACTGAGCTTCTGTTGTGGAAAGAGCTACACACTTTTGTAGCCTTGACTGCCACGATATTGCTCCCCCTGATAAGGTAATCAGATACCCAGAAGTGGACCTCCTCGAATCAACATCACCTGCCATGTCAGCATCTGTATAGCCAACAAGGACATGTTCACCATCTCCAAAACATAGAGTCATTTTGGAGCTACCTCGAAGGTATCTGAGGATCCACTTCACAGCTTCCCAATGTTCCTTTCCTGGTTTGGAAAGAAACAGACTAACAACTCCAACTGCATGAGCAATATCTGGCCTTGTACACACCATGGCGTACATCAAACTTCCCACTGCTGAAGCATATGGAATTTTATCCATCTCCGCCTTTTCCTTCTCTGTAGACGGGCTCTGTTTGGATGTCAATGTAAAGTGGTTAGCAAGAGGACAGCTAACCGCCTTAGCATTATCCATGTTGAAATGTTGAAGTACTTTCTCAATGTACTTCTCTTGTGACAACCATATCTTCTTGGCACCTCGATCCCAAATGATCCTCACGCCAAGTCTTTCATGGCAAAAGACTTGCTCAAATCCTTCTTCAAATCATTGATCTTTGAGACATTCTGCCCAGCAATTAGCATATCATCCACATAGAGCAAAAGTATGATGAAATCTCCATCAGGAAATTTCTTCACGAACACGCAGTGGTCTGAAGTAGTCTTCATATAGCCTTGCTCCCCCATAATAGACTCAAACTTCTTATACCACTGTCTTGGTGCGTGCTTCAAGCCATACAAGCTCTTACGGAGTCTGCACACATAGTCCTCCTTTTTCTCTTTCTTGAAGCCTTCTGGTTGCTCCATGTAAATCTCTTCCTCCAAATCACCATGAAGGAAAGCAGTTTTCACATCCATTTGTTCAACCTCCAGGTTAAGACTTGTTGCTAGTCCCAACACAGTACGAATGGATGTCATCTTCACCACAGGTGAAAATATCTCGTCAAAGTCAATGCCTTTCCGTTGACTGAAGCCTTTCACAACTAGTCTGGCTTTGAAGCGTGGCTGACGGTTGTGTTCATCATGTTTAATCTTGAACACCCACTTGTTCTTCAAAGCTCTCTTGCCTTTGGACAATTTCACCAGCTCAAATGTCTTGTTCTCATACAAGGAATCCATCTCGTCTTGCATGGCTTGTATCCACCTTTGCTTGTGTTCATCAATCATAGCTTCTGTGAAACTTTCTGGTTCTCCCCCGTCAGTAAGTGACACATATTCAGTCTCAGGATATCTGGTAGAGCGTCGTGTGACCCTACCAAATCTCGTCATTTGAACAGGAGAACCCTCAATGACTGGTGGTTGACCATCTTCATCAGCATCTTGTTCAACTATCTCAGGCTGATCATGTTGTACCTTTTCTCCAGCTTCTGTAGGCCTCGGTGTTTGAGGTACTAGCCCAAGGCTTGGTTGGCTAGCATCAGTACTAGGAACTTCTTTCCTAGCAACAACATCTTCGATGGTCTCATTTTCGATGAACACAGCATCACGACTTCTGATAAGCTTTTTCTGGATTGGATAAAAGAATCTATAGCCAAACTCATCTTGACCATAGCCAATAAATACGCACGGTCGCGTCTTGGAATCCAGCTTTGACCTTTCATCCTTTGGAATATGGACAAAGGCCATGCAACCAAACACCCACAAATATTTGTAGGAAACTTCTTTTCCTGTCCACACCTTCTCTGGGGTGTCATACTTCAGTGGCACACTGGGTGACCTGTTCCACACATAAACTGCTGCAAGCAGTGCCTCCCCCCAGAAAGATTGTGGTAGCTTCGAGTGTGATAACAAGCACATGACTCTCTCTAGCAGGGTCCTGTTCATCCTCTCAGCTAGCCCATTCAATTGCGGCGTCTTTGGTGGTGTGAATTGCTGCCGAATTCCATGTTCCTTGCAAAAGGTAGAAAACGAACCTTTGTACTCTCCACCATTGTCAGTCCAGATGCACTTCAGCTTCTTGCCAGTTTCCCTCTCCAACAGGGCCAGGAATTGCTTGAAAACGTCTAGGGCCCAATCCTTGGTCTTCAAGGTATACACCCAAGTCTTCCGTGAATGGTCATCAATGAATGTCACGAAATATCTGGCACCTCCAAGTGATTTGACGTTGACATCGGGTTCACAGAGTTCTGAGTGAACTAGATCCAACACATTCTTCGCTCTTGAAGGGATGGAACTTTTGAAAGCAACTCGGTTTTGCTTTCCCACAAGGCAATCGACACACTTCTTTAGATGAACATGATCCAACCCAACTATGACTTTCTTCTGGGCCAACTTCGCCATGGACTTCTTACTCATGTGACCGAGCCGTTTGTGCCACAATTCAACTGTGTCACCATTCTCCGCTGAGTTGACAATCTCTGGGGAGATCTTGGCTTCCGTCACATATAGCTTTGACAGCTTCTTGCTCTTGGCCAACACCAAGGAGCCTCTGGTGAGTTTCCACTGGCCATTGTGGAAGGTGTTGCAGTAACCTTCCTCATCCAACTTGTCCACAGAGATGAGATTCAGGCGCATTTTTGGAACATGTCTGACATCCTTCAGCAGTAGCTTCGTACCATTCATCGTCTCCAAGCATACTTCTCCTTTTCTAATAACTTTGGAAAGGTTGCCATTTCCCATTCTTACCACACCAAAGTCACCTGGTGTGTAAGATGAGAAAAATTCTCTCTTGGACGTCACGTGAATGGTAGCACCACTATCAACCACCCAGCTTGTCTCCTGGGTTATCAGGTTGACAACATCTTCCTCGTAGACAATATTGAACTCATCAACAAAGTTTGCACCATCATCATCACTGTTCTCATCTCGTTTGCCCTGTCTTCTCTCGTTTCTGAACTTTGGGCAAAATCTTCTGATGTGGCCCTTCTCCTTGCAGTGATGACAGTGGATGTTGGCAAACTTGTTGGACTTCCCTCGACTCTTGCCTCTTTACTTCGAGACTCTCGCTTCACTTCTTCCTCTGCTTCTGGAATCCACTGTCAGAAGGTCTGATGAGGATGCACCTTGTGATCTTTTTTGCATCTCTTCGTTCAAGACTCCGCTTTTGACAATCTCCATGTTTATAACTCCATCTTTCGCAGAGTTGGTAAGTGAAATTTTTAGCGTCTCCCAAGATTCTGGAAGGGAAGCCAGAACGAGGAGAGCGACCACCTCATCTTCCATCTTTATGCCCATACCGGAAAACTGATCCACGATTCCTTGAATTTCGTTCAAATGATCCGCCAAGGATTTGCCTTCCTTGTATTTCATCTGGACCAACTTGGTCAGATAAAATAATTTGTTGTTGCCGGTCTTAGATGCATAAAGTGACTCCAGCTTGTTCCATAGAGTTCTGGCATGAGTTTCTCCGCTAATGTGGTTGTATACATTATCGTCGACGAACTGTCGAATGTAGCCACATACTTGCTCATGCTTGAACTCCCATTCCTCTTCAGTTTTGCCATCAGGTTTAGTTGGGCTAAACACCGGCATATGCAACTCCGTCATGAGTAGGAGATCCTTCATCTTGTTTCTCCATATGTGATAGTTGGAGCCATTCAGACTTATCATCTTGCTTGTTTTTGCCTCCATTAAACGTGGCTCTGATACCACTTGTTGGGCGCAGCGGGTGAGAATAGCGGGTAAATATATTGCACTAAGAAATCACACGCTTGTAAAAAGTTCACAGGTAAGTTGGACCTGGTGGCAGAGCCTCCAGAATTACGGTAACCAACTTACTTAGATCAATTTACTTCGGTAATTTAATAATGCAATATACTACGACTATTCTCACAATAACAACAAACATAGATAATAATAAATAACATCGAGGATTTACGTGGTATACCCTGATTTTGGGCCAGTCCACGGGAACAGCAGCTCCGGAGTATTTCTTTACTATAACAATGGTAGGTTACAGAGATTTTCTCGATATAAGAAATAGACTACACGGTGTTTCCCAAACAACCTCACTATTTCACTCACAAGGAAATCTCCTATCTACCCGTATTGTGAAAACGTTTCACTACCGAAACCACAAGAAAGAAATAGAACCGAGAGCTAGCAAAGAAGAATGATGAAAATGGAAAAATGGAATGGTGAGGGATGATGTTTTGAGGCTACTGCCTCTGCCTTTTATAGGCTAGCAAGGAAGAGGGGATTAATGCTAGTGGTTGGATTGTCAACCGTCATCTCCTCCCTCAATTTATGTTTTTTTTTATCAATTTCCACCGCCAACCATGTTGGCCTCTTCTCTACCACATGAGGAGGGCACAACACAAACATGGAATACATAGGAATAAAAATTGTCACAGGAGAAGTGCAATATGAAAGCGCCAAGAAAATTGCAGTTCCTCACACTCCGTAAAAATAATCGGCCTTTTCTACAAGTGAAATGATTGTTGAAATTAAATAAAGTTTAATTAAAATTATAAAAACAAAAATATCAGAATCACCTAGAGACTAGTAACGTGTTGTTCTGCTAGAGAAATCCAGAATTGGGTAGATGTGAAGTTAATGTGATTGGTTATTAGCTGGAGCCTATAAATAGGCTAGTATGTTTGTGTAGTGTAGCAGAGCAAGAGCCAAGAAGAAAGATTTAAGTAATAAAAGCTTCCTCCCCCACATCTCTCTGCAAATTCCCTTTCCCAAATAAAGACCCATCAAAAGCTTCCCAATTCCTTTAGTCCAAATAAACGTGCCCACCAAAATTATCAAAGTAAATAATTTTTTTATTTCCAACAAAGTGGTATAAGAGCCCGATTTATTCTTAAGTATCCTTTGTGGTAGCAGCGTAGTCTGAACTTCCACATCAGAAAAGAATTTCTCGTGTTTTTGTTATCACGATTGTCCCATGGCCGAAAAATCCACTTTTCCTATTCAATTCCCCCACCTTACCAAAACCAATTACAAAAATTGTTGCATCCGTATGAGAGCCTTGCTGGGATCCCAAGATGCTTGGGATATTGTTGAAAAAGGTTACGAGATTCCCGCGGAGGATTCTCAATTATCTCCTGCTAAAAAGGAGGTATTGAGAAAAAAATAGAAAGAGTGATCAAAAGGCAATCACTCTAATTCATCAATGTCTTGATGAATCGATGTTTGATCAAATAGCAGATGCTACCACAGCAAAGGAAGCATGGGAGATTTTGCAAAAAGAAATGCAAGGCGTAGAACCAGTAAAGAAGGTTCGACTTCAGACACTAAGAGGAGATTTTGAAGCCATTAAAATGAGGGAAGGTGAATCTGTTTCAGATTACACCGCCCGTGTGAAGTCAGTCGTCAGCAAACTGAAGCAGTATGGGGAGAAAATTGAAGAGACCAAAGTGGTGGAGAAAATTCTACGGTCATTATTACCAAAGTTTGACTATGTGGTGGTAGCCATGGAAGAAGCTAAGGACTTGTCAAAAATGACGTTTGATGAAGTCATTGGTTCATTACAAGCCAGAGAAGAAAGATTAAATAAAAGAAATGAAGAATCGTCAGAACAAGTGTTCGCTACAAAAGCTACCACTGAGGAGGAGTTCAGTATAGAGGTCGAGGCAGAGGCAACTACAGAGGCAGAGGAAGAGGAAGAGCCCGAGGAGCATATCAAAGCAGAGATGGAGGAAATTTCACCACGAACAATTATGAAACGCCCCCCCAGAGGCAGAGGTCGTGGTCGTGGACGTGGAAGAGGAAGTTGGAGATCAAATGAAGGTCGTGATAAATCCAACGTCCAGTGCCATAATTTCTCGAAGTACGGGCATTATGCATTGGAATGTTGGAGTCCGCCTAAAGAAGTGGAGGAGACAGCAAACAACGTGCAAGAAGAAGAAGTCAAAGGCACATTGATGCTGTCACATCAATGAGTTGAGAAACCGAAATACAACATGTGGTATCTGGATAATGCAGCAAGCAACCACATGTGCGGTAAAAGAAACATGTTCGTGGATATGAATGAATCAGTGAAAGGAAATGTCGTATTTGGAGATTCCTCGAAGGTTCTTATCAAAGGCAGAGGAACTATACTCATCCAGCTGAAGAATGGCTCACAACAATTTATTAGTGATGTGTACTATGTCCCAGACATGACTAGTAACATCCTGAGTTTGGGTCAATTGATGGAGAAGAATTATGAAGTCCACATGGTGAATAGTCAATTGGAGCTGCTAAATGAGAAGAGGCAGTTGTTGGCCAGAGTCCCAATGTCGAAAAAAGGAATGTTCACACTGAATATTCAGACAGAAATGGCGAAGTGCTTGAAAGCGTGTGTGAAGGACAATACATGGCTATGGCATCTGAGGTATGGCCATCTAAATTTTGGAGGTATGAAATTGCTTGTTCAGAAGAAGATGGTGCATGGTCTGCCAGTGATCAATCATCCAAACCAATTGTGTGAAGGTTGCTTAGTTGAGAAGCAATTCAGGGCAAGTTTCCCAAAGGAGTCCCAATCAAGAGCTAAAGCACCGCTTGAACTTGTCCATGCTGATCTCTGTGGACCGATCACTCCAACATCGTTCGGGAAGAACAAATACTTCCTACTGTTCATTGACGACTACAGTAGAAAGACATGGGTTTACTTCTTGAAGCATAAGTCAGATACATTTGAAGCTTTCAAGAAGTTCAAGATGATGGTGGAGAATGAAAGTGGCTGCTACTTCAAAGCAATGAGATCTGATAGAGCGGGAGATTTATGCTAAAGAAGTTCAGAAGGTTCTGCGAATATCAAGGAATTCGCAGGTTTCTCACAGTCCCAAGATCACCACAGAAAAATGGAGTCATTGAGAGGAAGAACAGAACTGTCCTCAACATGGCATGATGAAGAGCAAGAACCTGCCAAAGGAGCTATGGGCTGAAGCTGTTGATTGTGCAGTCTACCTGCTGAACAGGTCACCAACAAAGAGTGTTTCGAATCAAACACCCCAAGAAGCATGGAGTGGAAGGAAACCCACAATATCCCACCTCCGAGTCTTCGGAAGTGTAGGATATGTACACGTACCTGATCAAGAAAGGAAGAAGTTGGATGACAAAAGCAAGAAGTACATATTCCTGGGATACTAGAACACTCAAAAGGTTACAAAATGTTTGATCCCATGGAAAAGAAGCTGATCATCAGCAGAGACATGGTAGTTGATGAAGAAGCAACATGGGACTGGACTGCTGAAGCAAAGAAGAATTACACTTTTTATCCATTCACTATGGATGAAAGTGATGACGAACCAGATACAACTACACCTGTGACGAGTCTACCCAGTCATAGAGAGACTGCCTGCCCAGAAGGAAGTTCAAGTGAAAGTCCGAAAGAAAGGCCACAGAAGTATAGAAGACTTGAAGAT